ACCTCTAGTAATATATTTACTGAGAAAAATGGTGACGTGTTCAATACTTATTTTATCCGCTGTAAATGTTCAGTATTTATTGATTAAATCAACAGCTGCCATTAATATATATATATATATATATACAAATATATATACACACACACATATTTGACCCATCACATAAAACTGAGGATTAAGTCAAGTTAAGTCAAATTGATCTCAGGAAATTTTCAAATTCTTGATTTTTTAAGCTACATTTTTGATACACTCAGAAAATGATTTGTTGAATTTACTTAAAGTTATGCCAAGTGGTTCCACACAATGTAGGTGAGTAAATTAAATGAAATTTAATTGTTACTTGTGTGAATCTTGTTGCATTTACTCAACTCCATTGTGTGGAACCATTTGGCATAACTTTAAGTAAATTCAACAGATCATTTTTGAGTGTACCTGGATCATCTTGATAAGATCGATTTTAGAGATCTGGCTTGATTTGTCTTCCTAGTCAGGATAACTCATTGATATTTGGTGTGAATCCTATTTTTAATTTTTCTAAGGAGGCATGTTTGATGTTATTTAAAAGGGGAAGGCTCAAACATTTTTTGAAAAGCCTTTATTACAAGCTGATAATAAAGAAAAGCTTTGGTAGCTCTCAGAGAAAAAGACAAAAAATTTAAAGCTTTTCTGGTTTTTGCAGCTATTAAAAAAATGCTTCAAAATATCTTTAAGATTACATTTCTGATATTTCATTAAACTGCCTGACTGAGTCAGGGTATTTATTCATTAGATTTTGACAAAATGCAGTTGTTGCAAACATTTTAACCAATGCACTGCAACTACCTGCTAACATAACACTGAGACTTCTCTTCAGTTTGATGTGATGGTTCACATATTTGCAAACAAAGATGCATTAACTACTTCTTATTAATTTGGTTGAATGTGTGTAGATTTGTTTTAACTGAGTTATTTTACTAACACAAAGACCACCGTGCTAAGAAGCCTGTGTTCGAGCGTGCAGTTTTTTGTCTCGTCTCCTAGAAAATTTGTTGATACTTTTTTGATTTTATTGATTATTTCCAAAGTTATTTTAATATACGAGTAAAGTAAATTCATTTTGTAGCCTATTGTTTTTCATTCCCACACAGCCTGAAAATAAAACGCTGACTCTTAGTTCTCCATGTTGTGTGTGGAAATATTCCTCAGGGTTTAAAATCAAGCTAAATGTTAGATCAGCAGTTGTCACAGGTGAGAGCTCCAGTTTGTCACTGACCTCCACGAGTAAACAAAGCAGAAAGTTCCCAGCAGCCACCATGATGAGCGTCAACCTGAAGGTCATATCAGGGACGCTATAGAGCTGAAGCAATTGGCTGAAGAAGGCACAGGGATACAGAACCAGCCAGGTCATCACGGCAAGCTGGAGGACCAGGATACAAAGATCCCTGCAAGGATGAGAATAATCATTTTAAATGTCAGTTTAAAATTCGTAATGTCCAATGAAAGGCTTGTAGACATGTCCGATCACTCACTGTTGTGGTAGAAAGGTTTATTGTGAGGGTAACTTTTGGTGACCACCACTGCTATGAAGATATACTGATAACCTGATACATCGAACACGCAGTTGTTCTCCATGTTGGGCAGATTTTCTGTCCCAAACACTGTGGAGTTTAATGGAATATACCTGAAACAGACAAAGTCATGCAAGTATATCATTCTTCTCATATAGATACAAGCTTTAATTGTTTGTTATAAAGTTTATTATATGTTGGATTTAAATAAAGAAGAGCTTTTAGCGAACCAGTTCTCATTGATGGTGATGAAAAATGCAGCCAGTTGTGCCAGGAACATCGCACAGGTGTGAAGGAGGAGGCTGCCAAACACAGGCAGGGATCTCAGTCTGCCTGGAGGTCTGCAGGGGTCCAGCTGCTCACTGGGGCCTCCTCTCCCCATGACAAAGACCAGCAGAGTTACGAGAAACAAATCACAGAACAAGAACTGGAAATCACCCAAAGTTGTCTTCTCCTGGACACAAACATAAAACAATATTTAAGTCAGAGTACCAAATAAGGTGTCTGATGTAACGGAATCTTTTTCTAATAATAATCTTCTGTATTCCATCTTAGTCCAAATAAATTACCTATTCCGAGGTCTAAATATGCACAAAAACAAAAAAAAAGTAAAAAAAAAAGTTGAGGAAGTAGAGGTTGTTTGTGACCTTGCGCTAGCGGTTGCCATGTCTTGATTAATTTTGATGTCTCTGCATGACATTAGATGTTGCTATAAATCTAAACTATTTTGTCCAGTCTGCACTAAATTAGACAYGATTCATATTAGTCTGAACAAAYGTAGGCATATTATGTAGACATGGCAGAATGTCCACATATTGTCTATTTTTGGTGTTTTGGTGTTTTTGGGTAATGCTTCTTATTGGATTCCACTGAGTTTCTACATACAGTATTTCCCTTACACTGATGCTGAATATCAGCTTAAAAAAGAAGCAAAATAAAAATGAGGTTACAACACTGAGCAACACAGATGGGCTTTGGTGAAGCAAAGAATAAGATCAATAAGACAAAACATGTATTTTACAGTTATTAATAAGCAGAGGATCAAAGTTCCTGTGACATGCATGCCCTTCAAATACAAAAGTCAGAGAACACACCCTTATATTTACGAAATTTGACATAATACGTATATTTCACAAATTTTATCACATAATTAGCATATTTTCTTTTGAACATGACTCAGCCAAAGTGAAACAGGAAGTGACATCAAAGGGGAATTCTTTAAGAAAGAAAACACTGGTCTTTGTTTACTGAAATTATATTATTTGAACCCTGACTCTTCTCTCTCTTATACAGTAGTGACTCAATATAATCTTAATAAGCATCAGATTCTTCTCTACAGTCTGTTAGCTGTTGTAGCAATGCTTTGTTTACATGCAGACATTCCCCTTTGACATCACTTCCTGTTAGTTCACAGGCCAATATGGCAACAACTGTTCAAGTCAGTGTTGGGATTTTTTTCGCAATATTTTGTCAGTGTTATCCTTCCAAAAAATGCATAAATATTTTTATAGAAACGTTGGACGTCACAGGCACTTTAAAAGTAGGTTGTAGGGAGTTCTTCTCTGTTACTCACTGTGTTCAGGATGAGGACTGAGCAGAACTGTATGACGCTGTACAGCACCATGTACCTGAAGAGACTGAAGGACATGACCAGAGAACATCTGCCCTCCCTGCACGGATAAACAAAAAAATGTGTTTTCTTTTACTGCAGAGAACAAAAATCTGTTCAGATGTTCTGTACATGTTATTACCACGGGTTTGCTCACCTGATGAGCAGCGGCACGCAGCTGATGTTTTCAGTCTTGGAGGTGAAAGGTGAGGCGACTGAAGCCTCGGCCTCAGACAGAGAAACTCCGACGTCAGCAGCTTTCAGGGCCCCGCAGTCGTTGGCCCCGTCCCCACACATGCCCACACAGTAGCTGACAAAACAAACACTTATATCACATATTATTCACACTTTTTTAGCTACGAATCTGTCTCTTTAAACTCACTTCAGTTTCTGCAGCTCCATCACCATCTGGGCTTTTTGGTCGGGAAGCATGCGTGCAAATATGGTGGCTTTCATCAAAACCTGCAATAACATCTCATTGTTAAGTAAAACAACTGCATTTGTCATGATGTCTTTTTACGGATTAATGCAGTTCACTTTACCTTTGGAAGATAATCAGGAAAGTGGTCACAGAGGGCAGAGAAGGACCTCCCATCAATAGCCAGATGATAGCCAGGACGTTCCTAATGAAAGGGAAAGAAAAGCAATTCCACTACAATACATACTCCTGAAATACAACAAACAAACTTTCAAAACATTTTTTTATAATCTTTATTTAGGACTCAAAGTACTAGACCTACACTGTCATTGCACTGGAAGCATAGTGCTCTATGGAAGACCGAAACTGACATAATGAAAAAGAAAAGCAGAAATAGAAATGGCCCAATTAACAAATAAATATGCAGAGAAACTGACTGAAAATGACTGGACAGGATATTTTACTCACAGTTCCCTAAAACGTAGTTTACAAAATGCGAACTTTCCTTTATGTTTTATAATTAATTGACTTCAAATTTATTTTCTCAGCTTAGATCTAACGAATTATATATTCTAGCGCATAACTTAAAATTTCTGTAAAATATATATACAGTGTATATATA